CTTATAACAACGAATATTAACCCATGATGCACCATCCTTTAGTTTTAACAATTTTTGAGTCCGTTTTATTGAGACGAGTATAATAAGAATATACGTTAATAATATAAAACACTAGATACTGGTTTTGAAGAACAAACATGCCATTTGGGTTAGCATACGACGTTGTTACTACCTTATCGCGCTGGAGCATCTATGGGTTTTATAAAGAAATTAGAGTTGTTGGGCATGAAAATGTGCCAAAAGAAGGTCCGATGATTGTTTGTTCAACACATAGGTATCAAAAATTCTCTGTTCAATATAGCTTCGTCGCAAGATAACTAATATATTAACTAAACTTATTTATTTATAATTTCATAAGTAATATGATCGTTGATCCGGCAGTACTTGCTGTTACATTCCCTCACCATAGAAAAATACATTTCTGGGCAAAAAATTCCCTTTTTAAAAACAAGTACACGAGACCTATTCTAGTGGGCGGAGGTGTTGTCCCAGTAGATCGGACTACAAAGAATAACAAGGCACTATTCTCTGCCACATTGGAAGTTTTGAAGCTCGGTGAAGTCGTTGCAGTATTTCCAGAAGGTTATTTTTAAGAATTTAAACCTTATTTATTGTTTCTGTATTAAAAAACAAATACAAGATTAATAATTAGATTAAATTTCAGGCACTTCACATTCTGAATCTCGATTGTTGGAACTAAAGGATGGTGCATCATGGGTTAATATTCGTTGTTATAAGTGCTTTTATCGTTATCGTTGCGTTGAAAATTATATATTGTTAATTGTTAATTTTTCAATATGTTAGGCCGCAATGGAATATGCCTCGCACGTCGCACAGCAAGAACATACTGAAGAATCCAATAGTGATGATGACCTTGTCATTGTCAAAAAGCAAAAAGAAAAACAGATTGTAATTATTCCGTGTGGGATAACATACGTGCAAAAATCAAAGTATAGAAGTTCATTAATAATCGTGTAAGTATTATGATTTATTCACTGGATTATATTTAATTTTATACAAAAATTTCTAATTTTTTTTTTTTTAAAAAATTTAAAAAGATACGGTTCGCCTATACAAATCGATCCATACTTCAAAGATTTTCTTCTTGATAATCGGACTGCAGTTAAAGCATTGACAAAACGCATCGAGTCTGAAATAGAAAAATTAACAATAAATGCTTCAAATTGGTTTGTTTTTTATTTTTAGTTATTTCTATATTGTAGATTTCGAAATTAAGCTATCCTTAAATTAACGGATCATATGTTTTCTAATCATGTTTGTCACAATATTCTCAAAATAAACTACTCTTTAGTTTGTTTTTTTTTTTTTATCTAAATTTGTGCTATAAAATGGTAGCTTATTTTTAGAAATCTATGGCAATTAGTTCACAAGTAATGAATTAACTCATTGTTACTTCTAATAATTAATCCTTATTAGGGAAATTTCTAATGCGTCTTCAATGGCTCGAATGCTTTATTTTTCTAATGACAAACTTGTTCCACTTGAAGATTATGTGAAAGTTACGCAAAGGTATGGTTAGTTTATTATTTGACAAGCTGCCCCAAAGGTAATGCTAATTGAATATTATATAATTTTTAGTCTTATTAATTTTTTCTCAAACACAACGTCTGAAGAAGTAACAACATTAAAAAATTTACTAATCCAATACAAAACCTCTTTGGACGCGCTTCATCTCTCGAATCATGATATCGCAAGATATGAGCATCATAACCTTACATTGCCACGGGCTTTATATTCATTTTTATGTGAATTATTCAAATTTTCTATTCAATTACCATTTTTTTTACCAGGCCTTTGTTTTCATTGGCCAATTTACGTTTTGGGTAAAGTTTCAGTAAGGTTCGAAATATATGAAGAATCGAGGGCTCAAAATAAGATTTTTCTAGGTTTAGTCTGGCTAATAATAGCTTATATTGTATTATTCTTCTTTATTTGGAGTGTGTTGTTTTTTACACCTATAGGGTTGGTATTCTCGGTTGGGTCAGTTATTATCTTTGCTTGGTATCACGTTGCTCTTGTTGATAGGTGGGTCCAATATATATTTATTTATTTATTTTTAATGATTTCATTTTAAGCATCTCTAACGCCTTTCTAAATAATAATTATAAAGTCATTACGATACCTTTAAAGAATTGATTGCATCATTTAGATTATTATCAGCGCTTATTGGAGGTAATAAATCAAGAGACATGGTAGATAATCTTGTAACAACACGTAGGTTATGTTTAGATCAATTAAGAAAAGTCAGTGAAGATTATAGAAGTAAAAGTGATGATTTAAGATTAGCACTAGAAATTAGTGAAAGAGAACAATCAAATGATGGGTTTGATGATAAAAAATTGACATAGTTGTTCTTCATATAGCATAGCAGTAAATTTCAATTCTAATCAATTTTGGTTATCAAAGTGAAGCATACATTATTTATTTATTTTATTTATTTCTATTATGATTGATAATGGTTCTGGTACTTCTAGAATCCTGTAAAAATTTGCATCCTACTTGTGAAATCTGATCACCGTTAATTTGTAGTAATTATTATATATATACTTAATAAAAATATGGTATAGTATTTAATAATTTCCCTGATTACATTATTATAATATTACAGTAAACTATAATTAAACAAATCTAAGATATATCGCCAATATTTTTACCATTATGTATTCTGATTGTTATGACATAATAATAATCACAAGAATTAAATTTAGTTATTATAAAAAGACAAAAAAGCATGTCTAATATAGTATTTGTCACTTTAACTTTATTGAACTAATTTGGATCCAATAAAATCAAACTATTTTTTATTAATAAAAAAAGTTTCCATAACATTCTAGTTGACTATACACAATAAATAGTATATTGTGTATTTAATATTAGGTCTATTATTCTTGGAAATTAATTATTAACTAATCCATTTGAAATAACCATGTCGTCCTCGATGCACACTTTTAATCCGTCATGCGCAGGTCTAATCCACAATCCGGGTTCCTTTTCTTCTAACAACTTCATCTCTTCAGTCAAACTGTAATGTTCTACTGCATGAGAAAAGCCTGTAAGATAAGTTCTTTGGGGTATTGGAACTAGATTCTTTGTTGTGTTAATAGCTTGCTGTATTGAAAAATGGGATGAATGTTCCTTATCTAAACGATGGGAGAATTGTGATTTGTGAATTTCTAGAAGACAGTTTCAAAGTTTTAAATGATTTTAAATGAAATAAGTAACTTACGATCCAAGGCATCTAAAATTACGAGTTCACACCCATGAATTTTTGCGTAGGTGTCTTCTGGTATAACGTTGCAATCAGAAATGTAACATATATTATCAAAGCGGAAACCAATGGACATATAAGGTTCTTTTGTTGTGAAATAGACACCATGTTGAACTAAAAATAATTTATAATAATATTTTACATATTTACATAATTATTATATCAAATACATAATTTCATTCGAACATGACAAAATATTACCTGGGAGGGGAGTAAACTCTAATCCTTCAATAGTAAATGGGCGCTTCGAATCTATAACATTCCATTTAAACGATGGTATATCTCCACCACCTATGCATAAAATTAAATTTTATTATTTTTTTAATAAGAAAAAAATGGTAATGATTATGCATACCAGTCGCTTGACTTGTATCCACCAGATAAGGAAACGAGATCTTGACATTATCTAAAGTCTCAATTGTCGTATAGATCGAAATCTGTTCTTGTATTATTTTATGTAGCGTCCAAGCTCGTAAATCATCTAACCCATTTATTGCATCAGCATGCGGATGAGTTAATATAAGAGCATCAATTTGACGTAATCCATAATGTGGCCACCATTTCAATGCTGAAACTTTATTACATCAATGTAATATGAAAATCAGTTAGAAAATAAGACTGATTGATGCATGAATAAATTAACAATTACCATAAAATGTTTTCCCACAGTCTATAACGATATTTCTAATAATCATGGACCATAGAAGTTAATAGTCTGTATATTATTATTGAAATTGTATCTAGCAATAGATTTAAATAATTATCAAATATGCTCATAAAAATATTAAAACTTACCTCACTCTTCCATCTTCATGATTCACTCTAATTAATAAACTGGTGTTCCGTCTTACATTTACTTCACCTTCGGGAGTACGTGTTGACATACATGTTTTACATTTTGATTCTGGGTCAGACAAACACGCAACTGTAGGAACACCGGAAGAGGTGCCTACATAAATTTAAATTTATTAGACCTTTTTTATAATACATTAAAGTTTTATTATTTACCTGTCCCGAGAAAAATAATTTCTTTAACCTTACGAATGGACGACATAAGATAATACTAGATTCTGGCCGATCATTATTTATCTATGTCGGCTTAGTTGGCTTAGTCGATTAATCGATTTTAAGGTTCGTTTACTTTCCTACAATGGAAATTTTATTTAATAAAATCGATCAGCCGAATTGAAACAAAACCGGCTTCAGCCGATAATTTGTTTAGCCTTTTTACTGTAACATTGTGATACAAAAAGGTGACTTATGTAGTTTTTAGCTATAAGCAGAAAAATTTTAATATATGCAACGGATGCCCGAAGTGAATCGAATCAGATCTGCGAGTGTCGTTTAAAACTAAAAATTTGCTCGTTTTCCGAAATCTCTTCGGAATTATATCACTATCTCCGGACCGAAGTTCCGAAGACAATGACGTGATTTCTGATGAGTTAGGTGCGAAACCGGAGATTTGTAAGATTCAGATTCAAAGATATGGATTTTTATATACGGTTTGAATTACGATAAACTGAACAGATTCGTTGACAATTATTCTTTTTTTTTTTGGTCTATAATTCTGAGCAAAATCGATATCCCTACATTCTTATATGAATTGAAACGATGAAAATGGTATTCAAAAACTGGATTAGATTAAAAAATCGGTTATTAGAAAGAATCCTGATTGGTTATAAGAAAGATTAACTACACCGAAATTCAATTTTAAAAACCGGTTTATCTGAGTTTTACTATTACAGTATATCAGATACATTATATATTAAAACCGGTTTAAAGTTGAATTGTGCCGAAAAATCTACTGTATGCAGCAATTTTATTTATGCAAACCTGGTTTAGATTTTGTACATACTGTAATGGGTTAAGAGGTCAATTGACATATATTAATAAATGCCTGTTCAAATATAAAGGTCGGAATTATACTTGCCGGCCAAACCTGGACAAATCCCAAACCTCTAAATTGCTATTTATAAAAAATTAAATCAAAAAATAATTCTAAAATTTTACAAATATATTATCTATAGCTATAAGAATATATTTGATTTATTTGAACAAGATTATTAATAAAATTTTTGAGCTATGAGTTTGGCCAGACCCTTTGGGTTTGTCCACTTTAAGTTTACTTAGAGTGGACAAACTCAAAGGGTCTGGCCAAACTCATAGCTCAAAAATTTTATTAATAATCTTGTTCAAATAAATCAAGTATATTCTTATAGCTATAGATAATATATTTGTAAAATTTTAGAATTATTTGTTTAATTTTTTATAAATAGCAATTATTTTTTATGGGTTTGGGATTTGTCCAGGTTTGGCCGGCAAGTATAGTCGGAATAGCTTATCACAAACGGATCTCGATTGAACATTATTTCATGTATTTATTGATATGTGGATATAATCCATAATATTTATTATTTTAAGTAATTACCATTATATGAAGTAAAGCCATACAATTACTAAATAGATGAAACCACAAATTCGAGCTTTTTTTTTTTACAAACGTCTACCTCTACGTCCACCTTTCCTACGAGCTTTTTTTTTAAAAAAAGATTATGAATAAAATATTCTAGGCAAAATTATAATAGACAACACTATGATGATACTTACTGCTATCAGTGGGAATAGGCGTAACATCCTCAATTCTGCCAATTCTCATACCCGCTCTAGCTAAAGCTCTTAAGGCTGATTGTGCACCAGGACCAGGTGTCTTTGTACCATTACCACCCGTGGCTCGGAGTTTAATATGTAAAGCGTTAATACCTAACTCTTTGCATTTTGCTGCGACATCCTGAGCAGCCAACATAGCAGCGTAGGGCGATGATTCATCACGATCGGCTTTTACTTTCATACCACCTGGATTTCAACAATTCGAAAATCGTGATAATACACAATGCGTAACACGGCGAAAGGAAAAACAGGAATTCACATCAGTTATTTTTTTGTTCAAAGGGATTATGTGTTTCACCACTAGTCCCAATATTTTTTTTTTCTGTATCAATAATTGGAAGTGAATCATGAGAGAACCTTCCAACAAATTGTATATTAAATAACGTATAGGAATCCAATTGTTCTCTATACAGATTATTTTACAATTTGGACATTCTCTATATAATTCATCTATTCTCTACAAGACTCCACGTCGCTAATTTATTAAAATGATCTATATGATTTATAAATCAATTCATACCAGTAACGCGAACGATAGTTTCACGGCCAGACAAATCAGTGACATGAACAAAAGTATCGTTAAAAGAAGCAAAGATATGTGCTACGCCGAAGACCAGTTCACCTTCTCGGACTTGTGGTCCGAGAGAGATGTTTTCCTCAACTTTGACTTTCTTTTGTTTTTTAGACTATAAATAAAAAAAATACGGAGGCAAAAATGATTAATAATATTTCTATAATGTAATTAATATATTTCAATTTTTCCATAGATACTGAAGGTGGATGAACAGAAATTACCATAATTTATTTATTTTTTTTAGAACAATCAAAGGATAGGAATTCGAAGAGGAAGATCGATCTTTTTAAATTGATTTTTTTTTATAGTTTGCAAAAGATTTGATCGACCAATGAAAATTTGAAAATTCTATAAGCTGATTGGACAAATTGTGTTCTAATATCGATGTTTCTCAAACTTCTAATCGTTAAGTTGCTTATCTGCTATTGCTATGTCTTCTCTACGTAACGCCGTTCATCGGCGTAACCATAAAGAACGAGCGCAACCGCGCTCTAGACAGAGATATGGATTACTTGAGAAACACAAGGATTATGTACTTAGATCAAGAGATTATCATGCAAAACAAAGCAGGCTCAAAAATATGCGAGAAAAAGCATATTTTAGAAATCCTGACGAGTTTTACTTTAAAATGATTAATAGTAAGACTAAAGTATGTGTAATGTTTATCTTTCTCAGGCTTACAGTTATCATAATTTATTGATTTATTTGATTATTCCTTTAATAAATTTTAGGAAGGCGTTCATATAATAGAACGTAATTCAGCCTTTTCAGGAGATATGATTAAATTGTTAAAGTCTCAAGATTTAAATTATGTTAAAACTCAATGTGATCTTGGAAATAAGGTTTGATCACCTATTTTTTTATAATTGAATTAATTGAATTTTGTAATCGAAAACTTATTGTCTTTTTGTCATAGAAAATTGAAAAAATTCAAAATGAATTACATTTCATTGATTCAGATCTTATTCAAAATGATATGGAAGTAGACGAAGAACTATCGAAAGAAAAGAATGAATTAAAACAACCTCAACATATAATATTCTTTGATTCTAAAAAAGAAGGTTTTTATTGGATTTTTATTATTAATTTTAACCAAATTATCGCTTATTTAACGTTTTTTAAATTTCACAATTATAGCCAAGAAGTTTAATCCAACAAAATATTTTGACACACTTCCTGAATTGATAAATCGCAAATTTAATAGGCCGCGTATTAAAACATTAGAAAGTGATAGCATTATGATACCGGATGATGAAGAATTACAAGTGAGATATAGTTTTTATTTCATCTCCTTTAATTTCTTATATATATCTTGTATTTTGCTCACGTTAAAAATATCACAGATATTGCACAAAAATAAATTATTAAAATATCAAGATCTCAAAGCTCGTATAAAGCGACAAAACCAGTTGGAAAAAGCAGAGCAAGAATTACAAACTCAGAAAAATCTGATGGTTCGTTTTTTTTTAAGAAAAATAATCAATTTATTATTTACATTTCATTATTATAATTTCTTATGACGTTGAAATTATAGGGAAAAGGCCGTCGAGTTAAAATTGGTGTTGATGCGAACGGATTGTCAATATATAGGTGGAAAAACGATAGAAAGAAATGAAGAATGTTAGTTGTACAAAATTAATAGCAAAAGCTGTAGTGATTGTTAACATGTTTATTAGACTGATATTTGTTGGTAATTAATCCTTAATAAATTAATTAAAGGTTTAATTTTCATAATGATAGAAGTAAAATCTCTTATTTGAAAAATGACTTGAACGTAGACCAATTTATCAAATGATTAGTGATAGTTGATAAATTTGGCACAAATTTTTTTTGCCTATTCATTGAGGATCGTTTATCAATTCTAATTTAATTTCACGAATAATTAGTAACGGAATTATTATTAAATGAACCACCTTAATCATTTTCAATGATTCACTAAATACTCGAAATTCATACTTGTGACCTGATAAATGCCGTAATCTCAGAAATCTTACCAGTCGAATACATCGGATAAATTTTTCTAAATTTATTTATACATTAATTTTCACACATTTCTATCGTTATTAGTTTTTTTTTGAAGTAATAGATCTGTTATTTAAATAACCGGGTTTTTTTTAATAATTTTGGCCTAAATTAAGCCTAATTCGGGCCATTATTCAAAATAACGCCCTTGTGCGTTATTTCGGGTATACAAAATTTTATATAAGTCACTAGTAAACGATAAAAAAAATTACAAGTTTTACAAAGCTATTTTAAAAAAATTTTATGTAAAGTAATATAAATTAAATATTTTAAATGGCTAAAGTCGATATAATATGCTTATTTAAATTTATTTGAATCTATTTAAATGTTAGAATTTACAGATTCAATTTTGAACATATTATAATGTGTAATATTTACTTCAAAATAATAAATTTATACTATACAGTATATCAACACACACAAAAAAAAAAAATGAAAAATAAAAAAAGAAAAAAGAAAATTAATAACACTCATATATATATATATAAAATTTTGTCAAAAAAAAAAAAGATTATACTTACTATGCACTAACTTAGCCATTATGACCGGATAACTATTATACAAAAAGAATGTTATTTTATCTAAAGAATAAATATGTTATTTTCTATGTATTGACAGAATTTTTTGTAGTAGCGTTACAATATAATAATATATTGTTAATCGCTTATATTGTGAAAAAATAAAGGATTTACTAAATATTTAAACGAAATATCCATAAAATCTATTAATGAAATTCTATACACACAAGAAGAACAAAGTAAAGATACAATAAACACACCAATCAATGAGAATATAACCTTTTTCATAACATAAAGACCGTTTTTGGAGAAATTTTGAACATTTCCAATTCGTCCATTCCTCTCTCTTGACCTCTACTTAAAGCAAGATCGTAGCCCGCAGCTCGTACACGACTTAGCACGGGATCTTTAGTATCTCTCCCTTCACCAAAAGAAAACATAAAACTATCATGAGATCTTGCACTAGAAGTATTACTCCAAATGTTAGAGATATACATTCCAAATATTTCTTCAGTAGACTTTATTTTCATTAGCATTATGGTTTTAGCTTGACCGCCGCAACGTTGATGAAGAGTCTGTTGAGAATATCCATCACGTGAACCACGCATAAGTAAAGTGAAGTCATAGGGAATATCGGTATGTTTATAAGGCTTGCCTTCTTTACGGTCAATCCAGGTGGCAATCAAAGAGGCATGTTTCAAAGTGATTAATTTTGAGTCAATGGTTTTTAATCTTGGATGGAATTGGCTAGGGTGCAGATCTGGCATTAAAAAATACCATAAAACATCATCACACATTTTTCGTGGGAGAATATCTTTAAAAGGCCAAACTTTTTCACGGAATTGTTCACGAGTCATTAGAGTGAATCTAATAAGGGGTATACAATCTGCTAAAGATTTTTGAAAAGTAGAAGTAAAATCTGAACTCCAAGTAGTAGGATCATCAGAAAGAGTAGGATTTTGCACGAAACCCCATTTTATAACATTATTCCAAAGTTCAACTTCATCCATAGCAAGATCATCACGACGAAGGAGGGAGGTTAAAATGGTACTATCCAGACAATAAAAATAATCAGAATCAAATAATAGAGGAGGATCAGCACATAAGTTACATACATATATACATTTCTTTTCTAGCCTTCACATGATAATATGCATGCATTTATCTAAAAA